ATTCATGTCCAGGATATTTCAATTTGCATAACATACTCATTGTCCAAGATATATTAATTTGCATATCATTTGCATAACATACTCATTGTCCAAGATATATTAATTTGCATATCATTTGCACAACATACTCATTGTCCAAGATATATTAATTTGCATATCATTTGCATAACATACTCATTGTCCAAGATATATTAATTTGCATATCATTTGCACAACATACTCATTGTCCAAAATATATTAATTTGCATATCATTTGCACAACATACTCATTGTCCAAGATATATTAATTTGCATATCATTTGCACAACATACTCATTGTCCAAGATATATTAATTTGCATATCATTTGCACAACATACATTAATTTGCATATCATTTGCACAACATACTCATTGTCCAAGATATATGATTTGCATATCATTTGCACAACATACTCATTGTCCAAGATATATTAATTTGCATATCATTTGCATAACATACTCATTGTTCAAGATATATTAATTTGCATATCATTTGCATAACATACTCATTGTCCAAGATATATTAATTTGCATATCATTTGCACAACATACTCATTGTCCAAAATATATTAATTTGCATATCATTTGCACAACATACTCATTGTCCAAGATATATTAATTTGCATATCATTTGCACAACATACTCATTGTCCAAGATATATTAATTTGCATATCATTTGCACAACATACATTAATTTGCATATCATTTGCACAACATACTCATTGTCCAAGATATATGATTTGCATATCATTTGCACAACATACTCATTGTCCAAGATATATTAATTTGCATATCATTTGCACAACATACATTAATTTGCATATCATTTGCACAACATACTCATTGTCCAAGATATACTAATTTGCATATCATTTGCACAACATACTCATTGTCCAAGATATATTAATTTGCATATCATAAGCATAAAAAATATGTGCAGATTATTATTAGCATAATGTATACTATATTAACATACAGGGTATTGAGTAACTTAAAAATACCTTGAGCCGAGGAATAAGAGACTGAAAAAATATGTATGCAAATAAATGCTTTACCTGAATCAGAACTTCCAGGTCGTATTTTGTAAAATTCATAATTTTCCAGACTTCCAGGGGACATTAACATGTTTCTATTTATCCTGTATGGCATCGGGGGTTGTGATAAATCATCATTAATTCGTCTGTAAAGATGAGGTAGTAAGGAGTTCTGTTGAAATAGGTTTTTATCCCATATGTAACCTGTAAGAATAACATAGTGAAACTATTATGACCTTGCCCACTTGTGCCCTGTACACATACTTTTTTGGGCTGGTGCCAAAAGTTGCCAATGGCACTCAAAGTGAAAATATATATAGTCTAGTTTGTATCTCCAACCATGTTGCTGAGTTTCAATTTTATTTGCTATGAGTTGAACAAGTTCTGGATACCTTTCAGTAAATAACAAGGTACACCCTGAATTTCAGGTGGGTTTCCACCATATGGTATGATGAAAACAAAAATATTACAATAATAACTGACTTTTAAAATAAATGCAGAAAAGTTTTTTACTCACCTTTTGACCTAAGAGTATTTAAAATGCTATCATCCCAACTACGTGACCAATGCGACATATAGCGTTTAGCAGAAAACCCAGGTCGGATATTCCTTTGATGTGGCCATCGATGGCGATGTAGAAAATTGAAATAGAGCGCCTCTTCCTCACCCGCATCTCCACCCTGCAAATGTATAATTGTAAAAAAAAGTTGATGTAACTTACAGAGTAGATTTTGTCTAACCTATCGAACAAATGACTGTATTCATCGCATTATAATGCACACTTGACTCGCATATTTCCATCATGCATTTTAATGCAACACAATAGGGAATTTTATTGCATTACTTCTTTAAAGAAATGATTTGCGAAATATGTTTTTAACTTGAAACAAACAGGTAGACGTGTTCGATCAGGAAAGTACTAGTATATTACATCTCACAGTGTGATGGAATGCCAATAAACATACAACCCAAATGTGAGAAACACGAGAAGAATGCAATAAATGAGTAACTTTAATGTGATGACGGTGACATGCAAATGCTAAAAATAATGACAGAATGCTCAAAAATCAAACTATGCAAAGAAAGTTGATAATATCTCATGCAGGGTGCAGCACACCAGGAACCATTGATATCAGACTGGTTATCCCACACCACATACAGCGTTGATGTCTTCATGAAATTCAAGCCTCTATATTACACTGCAAACTGTGTCAATTTCAGGAAAGCCACAAGAGTTTCACAAATCAGGAACAATTACAAGTCACTTGGGTTCTTTAATCAATAATTCAGCAAAAAATTACAGTCCTTGTAAATAGCACCAAAATAACTCTTCAATAGTTTGCAGTGCTCTAAAGGCTCAGACTTTTATAATCCTTGAATCAGGATAAGAGATTTGCAGCTGGAAATATTTCTAAGGATATAATCCCTAATCTAAACATGATACAAACAGGATATCACTAATCAAATAATTTTTGTTTGTATTTGCAGGGTTCGAAATACTCTGGTGCACACTGCACTATGCACATAGATTATTAGCTAGTGCAAATAAACTCAAAATATAATATGCACACTGTGCATGTCGAAATTAACACAACATTTTCTCATTATATTCACTAAGCCTAAATTAATAAGTTCAATCAATATTGTAAGATAACTCAAAAAAAGCAAATTCTTTCGTTATCGCATTGATCGAGAACCCGTAAATTGTTATTAAAACTTCAAAAGTGGTGCATTTCACAACAAGTTAGTGCAGGTAAATTTCAAATTCAACATGCACACTATGCATGCAGGGGAAAAATTCTATTTCAATCCCTGATTTGCAGAATGACAAAAATGTGAAAACTAACTAAGCATCTGTAAAATAAGTAACTTTAATAATAGTGATTTGCGGTTTTAAACACAATTTATTTTATCCAAGGGCGAATTAATAGATAAGTGTACGCAACTAGGATGACATGCACAGAAGATCTCACTAATCATGTAGCAATAATGCAAATATTATTAAAGAGCAGTTGGTCATTGCATCGTGTTACGTTTGATATTGGTCCCATGCCATATATACATTGCATGTCAACTATCATTTTTACTCAAAATTTGAATGCATGCTGCACAGCGACCAATTCTCTTCAGTGTTTAGGTCAATGAACAAAATTGTTAGAATTAAAGATTTAGTACATACAGTATGTGTGTGTGCTTTCACCTGATTTCCATGTACCATACAAAGATGCAATCATGAAAACTAAGTTGACATTTTGTTTTTATTTATTTAAGGTATTAGATAATGCCAATACGAGGCCGCCATCTTGAATACGGCATGAAACCACCGTCCCTCAACATTGTCATCTAACTGTAAGGCCGTCGCTGATTGGTTGCTGAGTTGGAATGACAATTTTTGGTTTCAAATACCCCAGGAAAGTGTTCTATGTTCTTTGTGTAATTAGGTGTTCATATGCAAGGGATTTTCCACAGAAAACGACAAATTCGACCGAATTTTGTTAGCGGTACTATATTGGCTTAATATTACCTTAACGGATCGTTTGGCTGTAAAGGATTGGTATTTTTTCCTGATTTGTAGGAATCTGACAATCGCGTTTCACAACTTTATTTAGTTTCATGCC